TAGTCATGGATTGCGATGGGCAACGAAGTCGGATTCGTCTCAAGTGACTTCGCTTCATAACCGTCTTACGAAGGGTTAGTGTTAGGTATCTGCGGGCTGGTTTCAATTCCTTTATGAACCTACTTGTTTTAAGTTTCTCTTCTAAGGAGAGATGTACAATTTATTAAAAAAAATATAAAAAAACTTTAAACATCAACCACATCACCCAAAAAACGTGATATTAAGCAAATTTTTATTTGTTAATTTCTTTTAACAACATAAATGAAAATACATTTGTAAATATAATAAAATTGTGTGGCATCTGCTACACTCGGTATCAGGTCCGGGATTGAACTATAGCTCACTCTAATATTTTGTCTAGATGTTAATTTTTATTATTTTCCTTAATTTAATCCCAATCAAATAACTTTTTATGTTACATTTTAAATGTATCTTAATAATTATCTACCAGTAAAGTATTACTCCCTGGAAATAATAGTAAACATTAATTTCGAGATGGGACAAAAAGATAAATCTTCAGAATGTTTTGATTAAAACTTAAAAANAAAATAATAATAATAATAATGACAAATTAATTCTATAATTAATTTAGTATAGGTTCTTCCTTTCTCCAGCCTATTTATGTTCGGTTTTAGGTTGTACGGGCGACGAACAACTTGTGAAAACGTTCTCTCTTCCTTTACGTCTCAGATCGTGCGTTTCGTCTCCTCTGTGTTCTGGAATTGGCCGCAGCCTTCCCTTGTAAACAGCCATGATAACATGTCCCCAGACATTGTCACTCATACTAAAATCTGGATACCTAGCTGGCCATTCCTAAAAAAGGTTTTTTCTTTATGAAAAAAACTTTTAGCAAAGTGCCATTTTCGCTGCGTGGACAGGAACATTGTTCTTCTGGAATACAAATTATCCACTTAGCATTGTCTTTGAGTACCTTATTGTATTAATTTTTGATATGGCATACTGTTCATTTTACCAGAAACAAAAACAATACCTGTTTTTCTGTTGTAACTAATGCCACCACATACCATCACCCTTCCTCCACCGAATTGTCCCACCAGGGCAACAATGGGCAATATAAAAGAGATGAAGTTCGAGGAGGTTCGTATGGGTAAAGATAATGAAGACGTCATTCATGCAATTTACATAGCAATAATAGAGTAAATATTAATGTATGATGTAAAAATGAATGAATTGTAAGAAAGAAGAAATTTGCTAAAAGCAGGAGTCTAATTTAAAGGGTGGATACTATGAGCTGAAAGAAAGCATCTGAGGGAGAAAATATTTGTGATTTAAAAGGAAAAGGTGTTCTCTTTATTTAAAAATACAAGGAATGATACGTCAAAGGATGTGCAGGATGCTACGGCAAATGTGACACCTCTGTTACGTGTGTTGGTGTCTCTTCTGCTTCTTTGCAGGATCTGCACGTGCCGAGTTACGTTATACCAATCTTCTTCAGTCTGCATTCTTCTATTCAGTCTGCAGTGTCCTTTCAGATACCCATTTAGCCGAGAATCCTGCCAGGGTTCGAAGTTTTTCCTCCTTTTTTTAATGCATTCTGTGATTCCTTTCCATCTAAAAGTTGCTAGAAGTTTCTTGGGTTGTTTGTCCTACGAGTGAATTCTATTGCTTCATCATTTTCATTTTGTCCTTTTGTCTAAGGTACTCATTGATATTGTGAATTCCTGTGTTACAGAAGGGCTCATGCTCTATTAGCGGTAGAGCAACTCTTTTCCTTGCAAGGGCGTCCGCTCACTCGTTTTCCTCTACTCCCACACCTCCTGGGACCCAGCAGAGGGTGTCTTTGTTTTGCATATCTAAATGAATGAACAAGTGTTCAATTTAAAATTTGGGGCAGAAGTTGAGAAATTTCCGGCATTGTACAATTACAAGTTGAAAGGAATGTCGTACAATAAATCGGCGCTGCTCCAAGCTTCCAAGACGAACGTTGTTACTTTTAATATTAATCGAAGTGGAGGAAAATTCCGTTTTTCTGGCTTTCAAAAAGAAATAAAAAACAATGATGTGGGAAAGAGAATGAAAAATGTCTACGAGATAATAAATTATTTTTATTCTATTTTTAACTCTCCATCTTATCCGTTGACATAATCTTGTGAATTTCCTCACGTTTGTTTTCTTTTATTAACTAATAAGAATTATTTCAATCTTCGAAATGAAATGAACAATTCTATTCCATTGGAATTAAATTAAGAATTGTTTATGAAGAATAAAACATGTTTTTTTTAAAATGTAAAATCATATATGAGGGACAATACAAGCGTTAAATTGAGAGTATACATAATCAACATATTCCTCACATATGAAAATATATATTGAAAATAGTTCTCACTCTTTTCAGCTCAAATTAAAAGTAAACAGAAAAAAATCCATATTTTACTCTTCTGAAAATGGATAATGGCGAATTCTTCTAATGTTCCTATGACCATAACTATTATGTAATATATCAACTGTTACAATTCATTAACAAATATTCTGCTTAAGATTTGACCATTTGTTTGAAATTTTAATTAGGTGAAATAGGTGAGTAGGTTTATAATTAACAAATCACTATAAGATTAAACTTGTTTTTAATACAAAATTCAGTATATTACGATAATCGCATAGTGTGGAACTAAAATAAAATCTAATTTGGACCCGATGTATTTGTACAAGTATGGTAATTCGCCTTAATACAATATTTTCTTCACAAGTTTGTCATTAACCAGCTATTCAAACATTAATACCTAAACAATTATCTGTCTTATTATTTATTAATATTTATTTTTGAAATCTATATAACTCTTTTTTCGCAATTACTAAACTAACATTTAGTTCAACTGTTCAAAATATATTTTCAATAATGTGAATTCTAACTTGAAAAAAAATCGAAGTGTAGTAGTATATTTTTTTATACTGACTGATATACAATATTTATAGGTAATTTGTATAATAATTCTGATAGACATACGATATTCTATCTTTTGAAAGACAGCCGCTGATGCTATGACATGTAAAACTATCGAATTGATTTTTTTTTAAATACCGAGAGAGACATTACATGCTTTACTTATATATTTACACATACAACAAGTATCCACACAAGAATAAATGATATTTTTGTACCCCTTCCTTCGTTTTTCTTAAGAAACATTTAAATATTTAATTTTTTCTCTTAAGTCGAAAGTAAAATTTCAGACTGCACTTGCTTTTGATAAAAAAAATTCTATCAAAAGTATAACTTCAACTAATAAATTTTCATACCAAAATTTAAAAAATAAATCTAAAATATACTTTTTTCTCTTTGTCAGTAGTATTTATATTTGGTGTACTGATTTTAGAAAGTAACGATATTCAATACAATCACCACGTTCCAAGGGACTTTTTTAGATTCCTCTAATCTTAATTCGAGGTTTACAATGTACGATTTATTGCTAAATTTCTTAATTTATGCATTACTTAAAGCCCTATGTTTTTCACTGAAAGTTCATCTTTAATTAAGAGAATCTATTAGAATAATTTCATTTTATGATTAAATATTTTTTAAAATACAATTTTTAAACTCTAATTCGCGATTTTTTCTTTTCTCGGGTAGGTACCATACAGTATAAGAACGTCGCTAATTTGCGTGTGTCCTATGAAGAAAATTAATATTCTATTCGCCTAGTAGGGCCTTCAAGCAAGTGCTAGGAAATTTAACTATAAATTATTTACCGCTAAAGTTATAATTTAGTTGAGTTAAAAACAAGTTCCCAATTTACTAGAATATAACCGGTTGTCATTACACCATTAACACTTCGTAACGTTTATCCTCTGCTCAATATCACACGCGACAATTTTATGAATGTTTCAAAATTCATTGATACATGTGGAAAAAATTACAAAAACAAAAGAAAAACGATAGATTTTTTAAATTACTCACCCCACGTTCATTCACACAAAACGTAAAGTTTATCAATATAGGTATAAATTAGAAAATTAAAAATAAGTGTTAAGCTCTTGTATTTTTAATGCGTTTTTCAGTATGTGCTCCAAATGTCATGAGAGAAACAATTCTACAGTATATTTGATTAACAAGGTCTCTTACCGAAAAATTAAAATAAACAAAAATTTTAAAAGGCAACAAATGAGCCATAGAAATCAAACAATATTTATAGGAATCATACAGACAAATTCAGTGCGTAATAAATAGCAATAAACTGATCCAAACGGGGAAATTATTTTAGAGTTTGTGTTTAGAACTAAAAAATATTCCAATTATTAAAAAAAAAAACTTTAATTCAGAAAACACATTGTTGTCCATTTTCGGTTGTAGCGTTCATAAATTAGAGAATGGTAAGCATTTTTGTTGTGAAAAATAATATTATTGTGAAATATTTGTATTTAACAATTTCCAAAGTTTGAGTTTTATAAAATGCGTTAGCCAGAGAGAGGTTCACTTTTCTGGCTAAACGTTTTGCTCTTTTATATTAAAAAAAAAGTCAAAAACAATACTGCTATTTAATAATAATTTACAATAAACATATAACCTTTGCTTAAACTAAATGATAACAGGGAACACTACAAAATTACTACAATGTTAATTTCACTTTTGAATAACCAGACAGTTCGGCTAAAATGCCATGAATAAATAAATCCAATCGAAGACAATTAAAAAAAACAAACAAAAAAACAAGTCGAAACTTTAAAATTTGTACAATTATTACCATTTATATAATTTTTATATATTTTTTTTTAATAACGAGATAACTTGTTTTGAAAGCTTATTTGTTGTGTCGACAACTTTGATAATAAATATAATAAGTTTACACATCTGGGATTATTTAAACTTCAACTTGGTTTTGTGGATTATTTACAGTTTTAAAAGAGAAAAGTACATATATTGTAGTGTAAACGCCCAAAGACAACCCGTGGTGACAATTTTGTACATTAAAAAATGGTCAATTCTTTACCCAGTTTTAAAACTTTTGTACGCAATTTTTAAACATAAACGCTAAAATTTAACAAAAGGTATACTTATATATTAAAAAAGCATATAGCAATATTTATATTTCATCTTTTGAAAAATATATATGTACTTACATTGTACTAACAATCTCAATAGTTTTGCAACCACATTAGATACATATTTAACTAAAAAAGGAAGAAGGAAAAACAAGACTTTTGAAACATACTCAATATGGAATTCCCAAATCAAATCTAAATATATATTTTTATGAATAAAATTTGGGTTTCTATTATGATATATTATGACTTAATTAGGTTATAAATCTGTAGCAATGGTCTACACAGTGTTTAGAAACGCTATTTGCACGTTTTGAAAAATATATGCCTTCATTATCTCGCTAGGTACACTACCACTCTGAAATATATTTTCAAATTCATAAACCAAATCCTGATCATAAGATCATAACAGGAAAATAATTTTTTAATAATATGAAATCAATAAAAAAATAAATATATTATAACTACCTTCATAAGCGATGAAAAAACTAAAATGTGGTTTTGTAATTTTTTTGGTTCCTTAATAATATAGTTAAAGAACGATACGTACAAACTCAAATAACAACGATTGAAAATTAACTTATAATAAATTATGACAGAACAGCATGAGATGTATGAGACAATATTATTTTCATCCGTCAATTCTTACATTTTCTTGTGCATCTTCTCTTCGTGGGCTTTCTTGACGATTGCCAGCTTTGAATGTGGGTCGGAAACCGGAAGACCGTTGTACGGTGCGTCTGAAGTTCCATGAAGCATCAGGGTCCATTCCTTAATAAAACCGGCCTGCGGTGTCTTCGAGTTAAGGGTTACCTGGAAATTTTTCAAATTTGGTGCACAGATTAAACTCATGGAGTTTTATTTAAATTGTCTTCACTTAAATTTAGCACAGTTATTAGAATTGTAACATAATGCTACATATTCACAGTCTTTGTCGCTTTTTTGGGTTGTATCAACTTCGACGTAATCGTGGTGTCCCATGCCCAAACTAGGCTTACTTTTGCTAGAAGTAAAAATGGCAAAAATGCTTAACACGGCTTTTAACCCAAAAAGTCCCTACTAATAAACGGAAATTTGCCGAACGAGCTTGTGTAATACCACCCAAGGTTTTTTTATTTTATTCTTTGACGAGGGTATTTCAACTACGAGGTTGTATGAACCCTAAGGTAAAAAAGACCATTTGTATGTATATCATGGAATGCAGGACGGCTGGATTCGAACCCGGGACCTTTACCTTATAGTGATGAGCGCCGTGTCAACCCCTAAACCATTGCGGACACCGACGCCCCCTAACCCAAGGAGTTTGTCGTAGGCCTTGGGGAAATAGTGTTTAATTAACCGTTTTTCCGTTATTACTTCTACAAAATTCTGTCAATTAAATTGACAATCGATTTGGCAGAAGATGGAATATATATTGGGATCATTTCATGGTCAGTTTGCTAGTTAGATTAAAAACTGACTTGGAATGGTTAGGGATAGATAGGAAAAAAACCATCACCCCAGTAGTTTGTCATAGGTCTTGAGAGTATAGTGATTAATTAGAGCCTTATTAATTAAAGGTCTTATTTGTTTTGCTGTTTTTCTTATCATGGTTTGAAAAGGAAACAAGTGGACCCTTCTGGTGGTAGATGACGTTCATTACAAAGACCTGAACTATTGCATCACTGTACATTACATATATGTTTCCAATTTTTATGCATTGATGGTTGAATCGAAAAATTAGCGTCCTGCTCGTGACACTAATTTTTCTTTTCAACCATCTTTGCATAAAAATTGAAAATAACAATTAATTGTAAACAAATAACTAATTAAATAATAACATATATGCCCATGGAGACAGCTTATGATTAAACAATTTTTAGGATTACTTTATATCCAGTTTGCAGAGTAGAATAACGAACATCTTTGAATTAACATTGAAAACAGAATAAATAATAACATCCAAGGGCTTTTTCGTTTCTAACATAATCCGAAAGGCTTTATTTAACTTTTGGGTCATACTAGTATCACTGCCTTTTGGTTTATAGTTAGACAAGAAGATTAGTTGATCATTCTCAGCTATGATAACGTCCAATATTAAGACGTTAAGGGTTTTGATATATCATCTTATATTAGTACATAAGTAGAGATGATAAAGGTGGAAGAGTATGTTGTTCTTCTTCATTAAAAGATAGTTCCTATTCACAGTTTGTTGTTTTCAACAATCCGGATTTCAAGCATTAAACGCTCATCATCAGGTTGAACGAGTTAAAACACGTCCCTCGAAATGAATTGTAAGAGTGAACCCGTCGACCCACCGCCAACGCGACGTTCCGTTAGGATTAATTTCAAGCAGTGGACTTTTTATACTTAAAACTGTTCATAATAAATAACTTAATTGAAATAGACATATATAGAAAACCCACATCTACGGAGACCATGAAACCAGCAGATTCTTCTCACCGTTAGGGCCAAAAAGCTGCTGGATTCATTTGGCTCATAGACCTTATGTTGAAACTCCCATTAACACCTGCTAATTATAAACACTAATTACAAACTGTTAAAGCCTTGGCTAAAAACAATGGATATGAAGAAATATTTATCGATATGCCAGGAAAAAGAATAAAAAATTTAACATTAAAAGAAGCAACAATCGGGCTCAAACCCCACCAATCCCAATGAAGTCCGGATCGTTGAAAACAACAAACGAGAGTAGGAACTTTTAAAGAAGTTAGTACGCTAGTTCGCTTCTCGCAACTATACGCAATATTTCTGCACAATACACGAGGGTTTACTCATCGACAGGTGTTTTGATCAAACGTTTTCAAGTGGATTCGCGTTTGGTCGCAGGTTTCAGATAAAATGATTCTCAAGTGACAAAGTTCCAAGTCCATTTACCTCAAGTTTCCATACACCTTGAGGATACTCTCCCCAAGTGTGCGTCGTCATAAAGGGCCATTTCGTGAATCCGTCTCTATGGTCGTTGTCATTCACTCGCCTGCTCAATATCATAGATCTGTCGACAAAAGGCATTAAAAAATAAGTCGATTTTCGAAGTTAAAGCAAGAAATAGTTACCTTGTCCCCATGGGGGATGTCAAGAACAGTTCGACATCCCCTCTTCTAGTCGCGTTGAGAGTGATCACCGCTTGTACGTGCTCCAAATAATTCACCTGAGTGTCTGTCCCTTTACATGACGATGTCTTTATCTTCAATACGAGAGGTTTATTGGTGGTAAATTGCCTGAAATGATATTGCGGTCAGTTTGTCGTTCGTGTTGGCCGTTTATGGAGGGGAGGGAGAACTTACTGCAATCGTTTGATGGAACCGGCTTCGCAATGGTACCTCGGAGGGACGGTTTTCCATTGCTTAGCCAACGCCACCATGGCACCAGCGTCCAATACACCAAAACCAAAAAGGTGGTTAAACTCTAGGCCGACTCCGTTCATCGTCCAATGAAACCTTCCTTTCGCGTCGAAGAGAGAATTCCGCTTCGACGTGAGCACTGTCAAGTGCTGGATGTCCCTCCAGGTTAACTGTGAGCTAACGATAAAAAAAAATGTATTAAACACATTAAAAAAAGCATAAAAAATTTGTACATACTTGGCCTCGAGAGCAAGCGCAAAAACTCCCGCTGCTTCTGGCGCCGCAGCTGAAGTCCCGGAATGAGATGTTGTACATTTACCGTAAAGGTCCGTGGTGGCCTGAAAATGCAATGAGTTTAAAACAATTTTTAAAATTTGCCATGCTACCGTTTAACTCGATCGATTTCTCCCAGACACGCTATGTGCTGCTGGAAGAAGGTGGTCGTCGCGCAGAAATTACCGTATGCCCGCTATTTTTACACACGGCTAATACAAAGGAAACTTTATTATTTACTACAGATAAAAAGAAATTACACATACATACGTGAATGAAAAGTAAGTCAATCAAGATAAAATTAAAAAAAAATTGGTTGAAAACAGTCTGAATATTAATAAATTTATCTACATTAAGAATAGGCCATACGCGGTTAACTCATGGGCACTTGCTCGTGGGCCAACCCCCGCACAGATGCACCCAATGCAGAGAAAGGTTGCTCGATGTGTCCCACATAATTGAAGCGTGTCATGTTTCGCTCCTTATAGGGTGCGAGTGGGCATGCCGCCAGATTTAAAAGAGGTTCTCGGACACAGCATCGAGTTTCAGGGTCTCCTGTTCCGCTTTTGTATATAGCCTTCAAAATATGCGTTTCGTGTTTCGGTGTTTTGTATAAGTGAGTGTATTTATTAGAGTGAATGGGGCTGATGGTGAAATAGTATCTACATCGCCCCTCGAGCTGTGTGCGTGACTTGGGTCGAAGGCTGAATATTTATAAAAGTACCCCGGCGACCCAAATTAGATTAGTTTTTTATTGTGTGCACAACGATGGAGGTATACTGAGTACTCCATCTGCTGAACGGAATGAGCGCAATGTATATATGTGTAATTGTATTTATTCGTGTGAATTCGTATTGAATATGTGTTGTTATATTTCGCATGCGCTCGGGGCTGAAATGACCTAGCTGTCGGATGCCCTTGTTAATTAAAAAAAAAACAAAAAAAAAAACAACCAATTTAACATTTTTGATTTGACATCATGTCAAAATATTTTTGAAAAGGTGTCGATTGCAATTTTGATTCTTGATAACGCCATTGAAAACCGCGCGGGGCAATTTCTCACTTTCTCATCACCATTAATTATAAGAATAATGTATTGTAGAAACCGACGGTGATATTAATTAGTTAAGATTTTTTTTTCTGTAGTTTGCTATCACAAATTTTTACAATCGACCTGAATGCCCTGGACATCAGGAGGTCAAGAACTTTATTTTCGAACATGTAACATTTTGGTTACAGTTCTGCCGTTAAACAGTTGCACAGTTTTAGCATCAAGAACCTTGTACCGTTTTGAGAAGTTTTCACTCTCGTGAACGGATCGTATAATTTAAGTCCATTTCTGGTGCTGTATTTATTAAAATCACAGTTTAAATTGAAATTATTCTTATTTCTATGTACATACAAAATACATAAATGTATATGTAATAAATATATACACATGGCACAGTGAGCATCCCTAAGTTGACAAAACTATTTCGACAATATCCCCGGTACTTCAGTTTGCCAATCATTCTAATTGCCTTTCATTGAGCAGCAAAAACGTATTTGGCCGAAGCCATTTATTTGTGAATAAATAAAAGCTTAATAGACATTTTTCACTAATTTGGGGAGTCACTTGACTAAATAACCCTATTAATAAATAAATATTCGAATTAAAACATTTGAATATATATTCACAGTGTTTACACCAGTTTAGGAGAGGATCAACTTTTATTCCTAAAATGTCAATATAATCTGGTTGGTTAGGTTAGAAGTCTGTGATAAATCTCTTAGACCTAAGGTGAGCGTTTTAGTTTAAGCCTGGTTGAAAAGTAATCCATTCGCATCAAGCCAGTCTTTTGTGTTTAATATTGCCTTAGAACTGTTTTCCCCGAGTGACTTCAGATCCTTGCACTTAATGGAAGGAGTGATGTCCTATCCAAAACCAACAATAGTTAAATCTGAGAAACTCTGAAACAGGTCATTGGTATAGATTAAGAACCGAATTGGCTCTCATATTGAGCCTTGGGGTACTCCTATTTTAACATTGCCTAATTCTGAACGGTTTTCAAGTCGCACTAATCGACTACGATTTGAGATATATAAAGATTGTAATTTAACAGAGCTTTCTGACAATCTGTATTTTCTGATTTTGTTTATAAGCATATTATGTGGAACTGAGTCAAATGCTTTGCTAAGGTCAAGCGACATTGCTAAATAGTATGAACCCTCTTTGAAGAAGTCCAACGAAAAGTTAACATCTTGTTTTTACGCAAGACAAATTGATTATTATTGGCCATGTTATATGTCTCAATGTGTTCCAGTAGTTAAGGTATTAAGAGTTTTTCAAATATTTTGGCAAAAACTCGTAAGACAGATATAGGTCTGTAACTAGACATTAAATTTTTATCCCTCTTTTTATATAATGGGAGCATGACACCTGTTTTCAGGCAGTCTAGAAATATAGGTTTATATGAACTTTCATTTATTAATGTAATAATGGTTCTGCTTTATACGATATTATGCTGTTTATATCTACCTGTTTTATAACCATAGTTGTCAGGTACATTCGATTTTTTTAGTTTATTGGTAATTTATATAATTTCCTGATTAGAGCAACTCTTAAAGTACGAATTATCATATTTAATATCACATGTAAAATCAAGAGGGTTTACTTTTGAATTATTGTTATTTGGCAAGTTAAGTGCCACATTAATAAAAAATTGCGAAAGTCGTTAGGTTTTCTCACAGATTGTTCTTTTGATTTATCACAGACACGTTTTTTGTTAACTATATGCCACATAGTTTTTTTTGTAATCAATTTTTACTTTATTCAGTGCCTTGTTGCATTTGTTCCTATGCTTATATCTCATATGTTGAACCTTTGAATTTTTGGTGTGATTGTACGAGTCAGATAGCAAGTCCAAAGCGGTTTTTCATTTTACACAGATTCGTATTAAACTAACTTTTTTTAAATTTATTAGGTAAACAAATGTTTGCTTTCACCCTTCTTGATGGAAAGCAAGTTTGAACGCTTGCTTATTCATAGATACATTTTATGGTAATATATATATGAAAGATCCGCTATCTATGATTAATGTGCTTACTCTGGTCATCACCAAATGACGAGTCACGTGATATAACCCATTCAGTCATAGTATCATACATAATTTGGTTGTAGGTTGGGTTTTAATTTATCGTAGTGAATTAGTATGGTTTTATGGACAGACAAATTCGTTTCTCTAAATATATGCTAAAATAGTGTTCACTGTTACAGCCCTTGGCAGTGTTAAGACTGAGGCGGTCTTCAAGGAAATTTGAGATCGCCTGTAAAAAAATTAAATATGCCCATGTGCAGACATATTTAAGATTGTTTTGCCCTGATGATGACCTTAAAATAGGTCGAAAGCTTGGCAGTAACAAATGAATTTGCAAATTCAAAATTAATAACCAATTATCCGAACAACGATCAAGTCTAGTCCGGTTCCTATTTGAATTTGAAACCAAACGAGTCAAAAATGTTACACAATTTTTTCCTCATGGTGTTGTTCTCCCGAAAATGCATATTTATCCAGACTGAGTACATCATGTATCGAAGTCAACAACTTTGACAGCAACAATTTCACATATATATGCTTTTTTTTTTTTTCTTTGCTAACTAGAGATTTACAAAAGAGGTTTGTGGCCTGATTTAATATAATGTTTAATTAATAAAACACTCAGCTATCGGAGTTATAATTTCTCTTAATTAAAAATTCAAAAGGTTTGTTAGCCGAGGGCATTCAACTAGGAAAAGGCTTACGTTCTCATTTATTATTTCTGTATTAAAACATGACGTAGGCGTAATTCCGCTGTAAAAGTTCTTACTTTTATATTTACATTTGAAAAATAATAACTCTATTTTAATATAAGCATTTTCTATGCGAACGTTATTGTTTAAAAAATCATTTGTTTTCTAAACATTTTTAAAAGTCATCGTAAGAAAACAGTATCCCACCTGTGGTATTTTTTTTTTTTGGGGGGGGGGCAAATTAATGAAAATACAATATGCTGCTTTCTCCCCTCAAAACTGTACGCTGACGGACTAGTATTCGGTCCTGGAACAAAATTCTCAGAACCCATACCAGTATTTTACAGGCTGAAGTTCATGCAATTGAGATATGTACTCAGTTCCACTGAAAGAACGAGTACAAAAATAGGCATATAACTATCATGTCAAATATCCAGACAGCTATCAAAGCATTAAGGTAAAAACATCGTTAGATCAAAGATATGCTAAACCACAAAACAAAAGGTATGCAAAACAAAGTCCCCCCTTGCTGGGTCCCATGATGTGTGGGAGTGGAGGGCAACGTGAGAAAGGATGCCCTTGCAAGGAAAGGCGCTGCTATACCGCTAATAAAGCCTGAGCCCATTTTTAACACAGGAATTCACAATATCAATCGGTATCTTAGATAAAAGGACAAAATGAAAATAAGGAAGCAATAGAATTTACTTATAGAACATAAACAATCCAAGAATCTTCTAGCAACTTTTGGAACTTAAGAAATCACAGAATGCATCAAAGGAAGCAGGAAAAAATTCGACGGGATTCTTGGCTAAATGACTATGTGAAGAAGATTGGTATAACACAACACGGTACTTGCAGATTCTGCAAAGGAGGAGACACATTACACCTATTACAAACTGTGGCGCCACATTTGCTCGCAGGAGGAAGTGTTTTGGGATGTACAATTTAACGCAGAAGAAATTCAACTACTGAAACAGGTTCAAGTTTCTTAATTAACTAGGACTCACCGGTGTGCTTGCTATACGTGTAGAACTGGGGATACAATAGCTCTCAAAGGGCGCAATATTTTACACGCCCAAACATTACACCTACATCGTTTCTATTTTTAATTTCAAAATAACACATTTTAACAAATGCTAAAGCATTAAAAAAATGTATATTTGAGAATTTTTTTTACATAAAATAATTGGCTCTTAGAAGCCCATATGAAAATTAATTAAAATAAAAAATTCTCTCAATCTAAATATAATAACAAATAATTTTTCTTTGAAGTTCTGAATTTTTAAATAATAAAAT